GCACCTCTAAAAATATATATATATATATTTATAAAGAATGTTTGGTAAAGTAGAACTATGTCCTCCCATGACCCTTAAGAGAATTATGGGGAAAAACACTTACCCACAGTTCTCTTTAATGCAAGAATTTTCCAGTATAACATGCCAGTGATCTATGCTACTTTTGAAAAATAGCATTCAATAACATTTGCAAAAATAAAATGTTTGAGGCTGAACTTCAACCTACCCTTCAGTCTTTCACAGTTTTACAGGCTCCTCTCCCGGCCTGAAATGGTTCTCTCCGATTTCATTGTACACTGTGAGCTTCTCTCAATGTGCATCATAAGTTGCAGCCAATCAGATACAGTCGGCCTCAGTTTCTAGCTGGAGGGCAACCAGCATCATCTAGCCTTTCCTTCCCAGCTGAACTGTCCCTTGCCCACCCATTTCATTCAATGGATTTGAGTTCTGTCAAACATGGAGGCTCAGCAGGCTCATGTGGGTATTACCTTGGTTTTCAGGAAGCTATGTGCAGCTCTTCCTGCCAGTTATGAGCTTTCTGCATTGTACAGAGAAGCACAGAGACCCAGTGGTCATGTCACAGGGTCTAAAATAAGGTATGTAATGAAAACAGAGACATTTTATTTAAAAATTTAATTTGCATGTTGATGAAGGGGTGGAGGAATGAACAAAGGAAGGCAAAATCAAGCAGATTAAATTTCAGCTTTCAGCAATATAAATGAAATGACTACTACTTGGTCTTATGCCTCTGTGACATGAACAGTGCAGTTACCCTTTAGGTACATCTACTAGTGACTAGTGGGCTGCTGGGAAGCACCATGCACGTAGCATACACAGCCACATGTGGTTTGAGGGCTGCTGGTGGGGATCCACTGCTAAATCAGAACTACAGCTGAGACAAAGTGTAGATCCTCAGGAATTTTCTGATTGAATAAATGTTCTGATAATGTGATCTGCTCTTCTTACAAGTCCGTTAGACACATATAAGAAAACAAAAAAACATACCTTTTTCTCTACTTCTTCCATTAGTTCTACTATATCATATGGCAAGTCTTTTTTGTAAGGCACAGGATAGCGGCTAATTGGCCTGGATGAGTCCGAGTCAGTTCCATAGCCTTTTATTCCCCAAACTGCTCTGGCTAATCTCCAATTCCCATGAGAAACATTTATTGGAAAGTTCTGAAACACATTTAGAGAATGTAAATTCATTTTTAGCTTAATAAGCAAAATCACACTATAATCTGTGGGTTTTAAAAGGCAGACATGCAATCTCAACTTAACATGCTATATTGTATACATCATCCTCTTGAATATGATAAAAGGTACAGAGACATGAGGCAAACATATTCCTCTTCAAAACATGGTTGGTTTAAAGGGAATACATTGAGGGAAATTTATCAAAACTGGGGCAGACAGAATCTGGAGCAGTTGCCCATAGTAACCAATTAGCTTCTCTCTTTCATTTTCAAATCTTAACTGAACAAACTGAAGAGAGAAGCTGATTGGTTACTATGAGCAACTGCTCCACATTCCGTCTGCTCCAGTTTTGATAAATTCTCCCCATAGTGTTTTTTTTAGTTGGGTAAATAGTTGATAATAAATATTGCACAACAATATTATGTTCTTATTGTAGAGGTCAACTTCAAACCTAGAGCTTGTAGAGAGGTAGTCCAGATGCCAAGGTGCATTTATGGGCTTCCTGTACTTGTCTATTTGTCTTGTCACCACTGCATTAAACATAAAGCAAAAAAGGTTCCCTCACAGGGGTCCATGTCAGCACAATCCAGTACACAACCACATAATAATCCTCCTGGCTAGTTATGACATCATTTGGGTCTGCTTAGACCTGCATCCTGCTCCAGCATAGCCTGCACGCAGCCGCTCTTTCTAAGGCTAGGTTCACACCTAGGTGACACCTCACCGCGCGACAATCGTGCACGATTCCGCGCGCATTGCCACGCTGTCAGGAATCACCAAGGTTTGAATTGATCACGCTGTGGGTGCCATTATTTTCTAATAGCACCCCAGTAACATCGGGCGGATCAGGCGTTGTCTATCACACAAAAAGGTACATGTACCCTTTTTCCGCGATTTCCGTGCGGATGTCACCCCATTGAAATCAATGGGGCTGCGCGGCAATAGCTGCCTGCATTGTACAGGACCGCGCGATCCCTGCACGCGCGTCCCGGGTGTCTTGCGGTGTTATGCAGTTGTGAACCTAGCCTAACACACCAAATACTCCTGCTCATCCCAGAGGAAACTATACACAGGGTTTGAAACCTGTGACTGGGGATTCCTGTGGCAAGAACCTTCAGATTTTTGCAGCCAGAATACCAGGTGTGTCCATACAGATGTGGCTGCTGTGCCCATTCAAGTGAAGGACAGGCTGACAGCGTGTGCATCCGTCAGTGGCTGTCCACATGTAATCATACATGGAACGATTACTTGTAGTTCGGGATAAACGTTTGTCCCTGGGATCTCTGCTGGTAAATCTTGGAAGTCTCTCCCTCCAATAGAAGAAAAGTAATACTTACCTGTCTGTTCTGCTTGTACATCGAGTCTTTGCTTTCTTGAAAAGCTAAGTTAGCTGGAGAATCTTCAGCATCCAACACACTTCCAGGAGTGTTGAATGTTGGGTGCCACCCGTGCATACTGTAGTTCTACCCACCTTCCATAAACATCACTACAGGAAAATTTCTTATGTGTCGACAGAGACTCTTTGACAGCATATGCTAGAATTTATTTTATCTTTAGCCAATAAGCTGTGCTTATGGTATATTGGGCTGTTGCTGTGTACTGCAGTGTCCTTATAGTCTCTCATAAATGGTAGCTGGTGATTTCTATGGTCTCCTGTAACATAATAGCCTTTAAAGGTCTGTGTATAATGTTGGTAGTCATTAAAGGTCTCAAGGAAGTAAGAACATGTCTTTGCATCTTCATATTTTTATGTCAGTTATGAAGAATTGTTTTAGATTCTCCTTAAGTCCCTCAATCTGTTGAGGCAACCCTATTGCTTTGAAGTTGATGTTTACCTGAGTGTTATGGTGAGGGCACAGTTCCACATTTAAAGGGGTTATTTTATAGAAAAGGGATTAACCTGCCTGCCGCTGATCTTCGCTCTTTTGAAGAGCTAAGATTGTTGAAGAGTCTGACACTTTGGTGTGTATCGAATACCTGGCCGATTACTGTGCTTTGTGGCTCCTTCAGCTGGCCCCTATGTCACTACTGTGTTCTGCAGTGATATAATGGATGGTGTGTGGAACCACAGAGCAAAGCAGGGGACCAGGCATAAGACACATCATTAAGTGCCAGATGCTGAAACTTCTTCAGAAAAAAAAAATGGAGAACCCATCACTTCCAACTTGTGTGAAGTGTGCTTGGTAAAGGAAATCAAATTCCTTATTCTGCATGAAAGACACCCTTTGAAAAGATTTTTTTTGTTTCATTTTGACTGTGATGCTCTACAAAGACACCCCATCTCTGTTGTGCAGATAGGTGCCCATTGGCTCTTGGGAGTCCTGTATCCTGCATTACCTTTCTACCAACTGCCATTTCAAACCAAACCCTGTCAGTTTAAAGCCCCGTTCACAATGAGCGGTTCGCAAATCGCGCGTTTGTCGCGCATTTTGCGCAAATGCTTGCATTGAGCAAGCTTGAATCGCGGCTAAATCCGCTCAAAAAAGGGTCCTGCTGTAGCGACACACGACCCGCGACAGCAGGACCCTTTGCCCAATTTAGAAGCATTGGAGAGCGATATCGCGCGGTAAATTGCCGCGATATCGCGGGAATTACCGCGCGATAAATCACTCAATGTGAACGGGGCCTAAGGGTACTAGAAATCTACACTGTTCTTCATTTTCACTATACAATTGAATACCTCTAGCAACTGTGTAGAGCTAGAACCTATGCAAAAAAAATCAATGTTATTGATATCTAGTCAGATAGGCCCTCACATGTTGTTAAATGTGTTTGATCTAACACCTCAGAGTCTGCTGTGAGCATGGCAAGCTTAAGAAAGATTGCTACTTTGTATGATCCTAATTGGAATAGTGGAGCCTTTCTTACCTTTCTGTGCTTGAGCAAAATAGGTAATATAACCCTAGATAGATATTGGCAAAACCAAAGATTGTGCAAACAAATTGTAACATGTGTGCACCACAAACTATAGGTGACTTTCAAACACTTTTTGCTCGCTGGGATTTGCTGATGCTCTCAACACCAACTGAAATGATATGCATTGCACAGTCTCAGGCTCTCTTTACTATTTATCCACCATCACATACATAGGAGTCGGGGTCAGTTAAAGCATATGACCAGCCAAAACATTTTGCCTTCGTTTTGGATAGAAAGGGGAAGAGCTAGGACACCCGTTTACCTTTTTACTGCTATCTTGTCCTCCACTAGAGAGGTTTACCCCTCACTTTACCCTATATACCCTGTTCTGCAGACAACTTTGCACCAAACAGGAAGATGGAAAAAGTGCAACAGATGCCTCCATCTACACTAAATTGTGTGGATGAAGGAATCTCCCACTGAGCCAAGCTTCAGTATCTTGCTAGTCGGCCCTGCTGGCTGTCAAAATACCTGAACAATCTGATTGGATGCAGGCATTGTTCAGGTATTTTAAGAGCCAGCGGGGCCGACTAGCAAGATACCGAAGCTTGGCCCAGTGGGAGATTCCTTCATCCACACAGTTTAGAATAGATGGAGGAATCTGTTGCACTTTTCCCATCTGAGCATAGAAAATCTGGAGGTTTATGGCCAGCTTAATAGTGACGAGCCTGGAATTGGTGCGAACCCAGTTTGCCTGAATTCGTTAAAGCCTGTTTAAAAGTGTCACCAACACCTAACACACACACACACACACACACACACACACACCCTTCCACTGCCCAATCAGTTGTGGCAGGCGCATTCCCTGCCCTGCAGCTATACATCAGAAAAGGAGCAGGGAATGCCCCGTCACAACTGATTGGCCCGGGGGTAAGGGGTGGCAGCCACAGTTTTGATCAAAATTGGGGCAAACAAGGTTTGCACCAAGACAAAGGTCATCACTACTCTCCAACAGCAACAGACAGAAATAATGTAAATACTTTTTTGGGGGTTTGTAGAAAAGTAGAAGGCTAGAACCCCTAGCAGTTTTTGGTTTGTCTGCTTCCCTGTTGCACACCAGTCTGGTAAAACCATTGTCAGCGGGATAGAAAGTAAGGATAAATCATCAAACGTTGTCCCAGATAACGATAAAAACTGGACAGGAGTTCTAATCTTTCCCACCTTGTAAGACTAGTAAGTTTTTGGCTTGACATACACTTTAAAAACCCCAGTTTAAGTCTGCAGCTAACGTTTAAAAGGTCTCTTGCTGAGGGTTATAGTGTCTCATATACAGATTCACATTTAAAATGTCATTACAACCTGCAGGCACACGATCTATGATCTAAAGTGCAGGAGCTTATCTCTGCATTCTGAAGGGACTAAAAGGAATGATTTGTTGAAAATGTCCAGGCTTCTTGCTTCTTCATACGATTACTGCTCTTATTCTAATGAGATCTGCTACCTTTTGGTACTGATTACCTACTCTTGGTAGAAGCTGTGAAAATGCAATTCATAATCAGGGTATATGTGCACCTTTACCTTCATACTGCTGGTTTTGTACAGCTCCAAGAACTTTTACCTACATGTTTCAGAGAAGTGTAGGTATTTATGATAGGTGTCATGTGTTTTAAGTTTTCTGGGTCCTACAAATCTTACAAAGTAATAGCACAGGAAAGAAAGAGTTATTTTGTTCTGGTGGCATTATAGTAACTTTTATACTACAATTGTGTGTTACAGCAAAGGTTGATTGTAGCTAGCTAGTAGTGTCAGGTGCCCTGTGTACTCACAGCAGAGAGGCTGAACCTGCCAAGCTTCATAAAACTGCTGATTACTCTCATGGTGATGTGATCCAGTCAGCTCTCCCAGCCTGTGTGCTCAGCTAGTGTTTCCTAGTTCAGGGTCACGCAGCAGAATCCCTCCTCCATGTATGAACTGCATCCTCCCCTCTCTGCTGCGCACACCCACACAAACTGCTCTCTGACTGGTTCTGCCTTGCATGTTGCTTTTTTTTTTTTTTTACAGCAAACGGATCCATTTTCTGGTCTTTACAATTGCAGGAGGAACAAATTGTTTCCTTTTTTCATTTTTATTTCCACATGGCCACATTTCTGTAATGATTTATGTGTTTATACTTTTTTTTTTTTTTCCGGCCACAGGGAGGACATCAAAAGGGTCACTCCCTGGTGGTCAGTCCACAAGAACGGGACAATGCGCGACTCAACAACTGTGGGAAGGGTGGGATGCGGTACAAAAAAATGGTCGATCCTAGAGAACGAGTGGTGTGAGTTGGAATAGAAGGTGTATTCTCTGGCGGAAGGGTGTAGTTCCCTCCAGCAATCCACTAATGAGTGTTGGGAAAGGAGTGTCTACGGAAGGCTCTAGAATTTTCAGAGGGTGAAGCGCTCGTCGTCGTTCGGTCTAGACTCGGGTGGGGTGTTTATACTTTTTTGACTCTTCGGTTGTTAAATATTATTATTATTATTATACAGGATTTATATAGCGCCAACAGTTTGAGCAGCGCTTTACAATATAAGGAAGACATTACAATTACAATACAATTCAAGACATGATGGTAAGGAGGGCCCTGCCCATGAGAGCTTACAATCTAAAATTATTATTATTAGTAGGGAAGCACTGATACCGGTTTTTCAGTGACATGGAGGCGGCTTCCCGGGCAATCTGATTGCGGCTTCCCAGCCAATCAGCATGGAGCCAGCCAATCAGGAAGCCGAGAGGTGGGTCACTACTCGCCGCCCAGCTTCCGGATTGCACTCGAAGCTGGCTCCATGTTCCCCTTCCTCTGACCGGAAGATCCAGTATCAAAGAAGGTATCGGAGCATTTGGACGAGTACGAGTACTCACGCAAATACTCAGTATCGGCACCGATACTAGTATCGGTATCGGTGCATCCCTAGTTATTATCATGATATATGATGTACATATAAGGGAAAGAGATTTTATGTGGGCTCTAAAGAAATTAATTTCAGTGCAGTTGCTTCTGAAAATGCTGGTTGCCTGGTTGGTAGCCTTATAATAACTTTTATACTACAATATGTAGTATATTACTACAAATTATGCCCCCCGCCCAACCCCATTCATTTATATTGCCCTGTTCACATCTGAGCGTTTTGCAATAAGCAAAACGCCTGTCACTGGAAAAAGTACAGGAGCTTTTTTTTTTTGGCATATTACAGCTTGTTCTGTCCCCATAGACGCAATAGGAAATGCTTAAAAACGCACATTTGCTGTGTTTTTGCACATTTTTATGCGCGTTTGTTTATTAACATCAATGAGCTACAATCTGCTCACAAAAACGCGTGTTTTGCCGTGTCCGCATAAAACGTGGATCAGAAATGTGTGTAAAAACACGCAAAAACGTTGTCGCCTAGGTGTGAACCCAGCCTAATGCTGATTTAGTAGTGTCAGTGTTTATCAACCTTAATGAGACCAGGCCTGGTATAGTCTTCCAAAACCTTCATAACAGGGACAGGAGTAAGAATTAATGGATTACAAGTGCTGGGAAGTCACCGCACTTGTATTCCATTGAAAACTACAAGTCCTTCTGTCGTGGTGGCTGATGGGATTTGTAGTTCCTCCCTTCACAGAGCCAGTCAAAGGGTTTGTGAATGTATGACAAGGCTGTATGGTCAGAGCCATGAACAGCTGCACCAAATAAAATAAAAAAACACAGCAACCTGCGGGGAGAAGAACTTCATGATTCAAATAAGTGGTGGGTGGGGCTAAATATGGATTTAACATGACACATGGTCAGCTGTGAGCCAGGGATTGGGAGGGTATATTGGTCAGGGAGACATGCAATGTTTTTTGGAGTTTGCTGCCCTGCAAAAATATATCACAAATGGAGGAGTGCCTGTGCCATAACTGCTGCCACTGATTGGGCTAGGAGAAGGGGGTGTGTGATGGACTACCTGATACCCAGACATCCCAACCTGTAAAACTTTATTTCAAGGAGGTGCCCTTCTCATTTCAGGGAGGTAGCCTTTCTGTTTTGTTCTTTTTTTTATTTTGACAATGGCCGCCGTTAGAATAAAAAAAAAAATACACATATAGCATGGGAATGAATGGCTAGGCTGTTATTGGCTATTTCAATTTGCAACAGTCAATAGCAGGCTGGCTACTGCACCCATCCACTGTTGCTGTCAATCAGCAGAGGAGGACCTGAATGAGAGCTGAATGATTCACAGCAGCAGTGGGTGGGTGCAATAGCCAAAATTTCATAAAAATTCCGGTGTACACACAGGGAATGCATTTAATCCTTGCAGCATCAACCTTGGTTTGTAACTAAAACCACAAATCATTGCAAACAATTACCACTCAGTAAGGGACAGAATTGCTGAAAAGTAGTTACTGCACTCACCAAGAGAGCGTGATGTATAATTAAATGTATAATTAAGTTAAAATAAAATGGAACCCAAACGCCGCACCAAAGAACCTCCCCAGGTTTAAACTTTGGCATTGTTGCCAAACATGCACACTCACGCATTCTCTTACAACTACTGTCCCCATGGCGCTGCATTGAATTCAACGGCACCGCTTC